TCCCTTAACCCTTCGATTCACATTATGGGTAGTTGTCAAAATGATGATCCCTTTCTGGGTCCTCTAATTAATAGGTGCCGTATTATATTAGGGACCCAAAAAGGGACCATAATTTTGACAACCACCCTTATAGTTTAGAAGCTGCCCCCACCCTGTAATAGTGACTATAAGGATTATATTGGGGCCCTATTATATGCCTATTATACCACTATTACAGGGTGGGGGCAGCTTCTAACTTATAGTAGCCCTGAACCCTCATCCCAGGAGTCCTGTTCTCTCGTCTGCCATGCAGGCCAGGGTCTCCACGGCCTTGTATCGCATGTCCTGCACAAGATCTACCTGGACCCTGAGGGACCTACCTTTTTCGGGTTCTTTACTAGGATTTCCTGACATAAGTCCTTAAAACTGTAGGTTGTATAGGGTCCAGGTATCCTTATGGTGCCCAACACTCCTTAAGTAAACAATATACTTGAATTTGGATCGTATCAAGGGCTCTGGGAAGTGCCTCTAGTTTACAACAGTTAGTTGTTCGAAAGGAGATTCGGTTTGTCGGTCGATGTATCTCCCGGGAACAGCTAGCTGCAGCATCGTAACACAAGAAGCGCTAGGCACAAGCGGACCAAAAGCTGTCCAGTCGCTTCCCGCAGAGGAAGTACAGTGCGCAGTCGGTGAAGGTGTTGCCTTGTCTAAGCCCGGTTGCAGATTATGGGATAAAACGTAGGCCCGAGACGCCTAGATGCTGAGCGAGTCTCCTATTACTCGGGTACCTTCTCAAGACCCTTGTTGACTGAGCCTGTCGAGGTGAAATTACATGACATGGGTATCTTGGGCTTGAAAGCAAGTTTCCCCCACCGAGGCGCTGATGGTCCAAATACCTATACCTCGCCGTCTAAAGTCTAACAGATCCAATAACAAGGCATTGCGGCTTGGGGTAGTACCTATACGTGAACCCACGCATCACTTGGCAGCGCCGGTTGTCATTGCAACGTCAGCCGTGCCCATGCCTCCCGCTCAAAGCCTTGCTTGTAATCGACATGGCCGTTGCCCTTGGGACAACCATCCCGACACAACTTCGTAGACTCCACAAACCGATCCCACCGGCTATGCCAAGTGCTGCAAGGGACGTTGAAAGGATGTTCCGCTGGTGCTAGGTCTTGGTCACTCTTCCAACATCGTGGATATGTCGCATAACCCCCATGGTGCATCCAATATTTGGCTCTGCACTCTTGTCACCAGCAGGAAGCTTGAAGAGCGCTCTTCTTCACAGCAATTCCCCGGCGTACAGTTCTGAACATCTGAGTTGTACCTGCTTACAACTACAACATTGCCTTCAATAGCTGTGGCACTGGTGTGAAGAACCGCGGATGTCGCTCACCCACTTCCAAGACGGCTTTCTCAAGCATCTCCGATATCCCGGCACTGTCAGGTGCCACCTTTGATGCCCGGTTTGAGTTTTGCTGTGCTGTCCGTCTTTTCCATGAAGTTCATGAAGCGTAGCGGACTGAGAGAGGATGCCTGGGCCTACCAATCAAAGTAATCAACACAATGACTGCCAACGTGGGGCGGTGGCGCAGGCAATTGTCGGTGCGTGCTTTCGAGAATGACAAGTTCTGCTTGTACCGTGACCGGCAAGAAGCGATACAGGATTTTTTTCAAACCGAGGAACATACCAATAAACAATTATGGACTCGTAAGGAAACACTAGAGTAATTGTGACAGAGAGTTAGTTGTCTTAACGGTAACCTGATTGCGGGTGCGGATTCAATGCAAGCTTGCTAAGCCACACATGCCACAACCCCAAACGATACTGGGAAGCATCCACGATCCTTCCTGCTGGAAACCCAACCCTAAACCCTAAACCCTAAACCCTAAACCCCAAACAGGAAGCAAAGAGTTTCGGGATTGCGAGTTTGGAGCTTAGCTTTGCGTTGACAATAAGACCCGAGGCCCTGAACCCCCAAAACTGTAACAGTCACTTAGGAACTCAAGCCCCAAACATTTCACGAAAACCTGAGCCGAAACGCTGGTCCCACGCTCTGAAACCCAAAGTCGAAATAAAGCCCCACCCAAAGCTCTAAATAGTATGTTGCTGTCCTAGGGTGCCATCTAAAGCCCACAAGCATCCTGACTCGCAATGTAATGTGAAAAAAACCGGCGAACTGTTTGTACAACTGCGCTTCCAGCCTGGACTTAACCCACTTAACAAGGCCCTGTCCCTGGACCTTAAATCATCAACCCTCGAAACATACGCAGAGGCCCCCGCAATTTTTGCGGAGCAGGTCGTAGCTGCCGGGTTGGAAATGACCCTCAGTCGGAACTACAGTCTTCATACCAAATACTGCCAACAGCATTTTACTATGTTGAAAGAACTTATCTATGCTGAAAATATTTATCTGCTTCACAATATCTTCAAACATAGTTTTAGAATATGGGAGTGTAGGTCTTCGGGCAAGTATATGGTCTGGAAGATGTTTGTAGGTTGAACGTCCCGGGTGTGCGGTTTCAAAACCTCAGAGCTTTCATCGTCTTAATCATAATCCGATTTCGAAGGTGGAGCAATTACCAGTACCCTAAATAAGGTTAGATGGGTTGACCATGTACCTCTTTTTAGGCCTGGTTTACCCCTACACCCCGAACAGCTACAACAGTGACAATCGTGATTCCAGGGCTGGTCAAGGTAATACAAGCGGTCATGACGTTTGACATTACTACAATCAGCGCCGGCGCGCTCACTAGGACACCACGCAACAGTAGAAACCAAAGCGACGGCTACAGCGACGACTACAACAGCAGCAGCAAAAAAAACAGAAGCACCTACCATCACTGTTACCAGCCCATGTGCATCACCAGTGCCACCGTCAACACCAATGCAACAGAAGACACCACTAGACATTAATTGTCATACCTTAAGCCTCAGGCCTTAGCCCCCTAAAACAGCTAGTTACATAGAGTCACAGTTAACGCATCAAACAGGTCATATCGAAACCGAATCGGCAAAACTTCAGCAGTGGACACCTCAGTCCCGGCATCTCGCCAAGAGACTGCAATGAAAGCACACTGCAAAATCGGCAACGCCATAGCCTTGCCCGCGAAATACTGCATTAAGCTTTCGGAAGGGGTCCCCGTGGCTTGAAGCCCTCTGCCCAAGCTTGAGGACGCGAGCTGACGATGAACCTTCAAACTTGATGAAGACAGGTGCCAACGAAGTCTTGCTTCTGATGTTTGCCTGCGAATCGCGGCCTGCGGCGCAAACCCGTCCCTTGGATTGGCCATTGAAGCGACTGAAACAGTTGTTCTTGAAGTTGTAGGAATGGCAAAGATGGGAAGCCTTGATAGAGCAAGGCCTCCCGTCCTAGTAGAAGTCGGTTATCTTCCTGCTGACTGTACATGAGCTGCTTTCGTAAGCTCGCCCTGCCCGAAAGGTGAGTGAGTTGGCTACATGCCACCCAAGGCATGCCCCTTGCATCTATTTTGGGGGGGTTCCTTATTCTAGCAATAGTTATAGGTATAGTATACCCCCAAACCCTATTCTACCTACACAGGCACCTATTCTATAAGCCTTGGCCAAATCCAGACATCTGGGGCCTCCCATGCGCGGCTCAGTCCTAAGTCCCGAGGATGCGGCCATGGCTGGGCTGCATGCCCATCATCGAAACCATATCCATACCCATTTGGTACATATTAATTGTGGCCGTAAGCCGAGGAAAGTCTCCCTAAGCCCCCAAACTCAACGGATTCACTAAAGCTTTCATCCCAAGGCCCCCCAACCATCGCAAACATCTGCAAGGGATCAAGAGAGGTCAAGGTACAGGTAGTAATGCCCCTAAACCCCAAACGCCTGAACCCTAAACCTCTAAACACCGAGGCACACTGAGGAAGCACAGCATTTCGGCCCCACTCCTGGCATCCACGAAGCTTCGGGGCGCTCGGGAGCTCAGAGTTGCAGGGGTAATTCTTCAAACTACAGTTGAAGATATGAATCCTGCATTTCCCAGAGAAAGGACTATACCATCATTGCCATAGTTTAGGGTCCTTAAGGCAGGATTTTTATATCATCAACCGTAGGGTCCCGTTTCTTGGGGGTCCTTAAAGGGATACATACGGGTTCTATAAGGTTCTATACGGGTACTATAAGGGGTAGTTCTCTGAACTAGGGTCCCTTTTACTCGGAGGATCATGGAACTTAGTAATTAGGGATATAAATCAAGCAACTATACTAATATTCAGTTATAACGCCAGTTGGGTACTTATAACTGTACTTACAAAGTCCCGTGATCCTCCAAGTAGGGTCTTTTTATAAGGGTGCTGTGCTGTTTTGGAGACCTGAAACAAGGACCGTAGTTTCGAGAACCACCATCATGGCGGTTCAGACAAAAAAGGGCCCAAAGCACCTACAATGTAGGGTTCTATATTACGAGATACATGTAGAGTGTATGGTTTCTATACTATGAACTACTGTAGTAGCCGGAAAGTTGGAACATCAGTATCCTCATGGCCTTAAGATAAAGTATGGGGAATCCTAGATGTTCCTACTTTCTGGGGTTGGCAGTACCATTTTGGGAAGTATACCCCAGATTGGGGGATGGAGGTCTTCCAAACTCTACAGCATCGGGGTTTGTTAGGAGCTCCGAAAGAGAAAGCTGAACCCGAAACCTGAAATACCACCCGAAACCTTAAACCGATACTCCTAAGCCCCACAAGCACCAAAGCGAATTGTACTGCCGCCCCTTTTCCGGCCGCATCTCATTTGTACTGAGGGCTGGCAAGCTGACATGGCAGAATGGCCTTGCTCTCCGGCTAACGGCTTGAACCGCAAAATCTCTACCTTAAAAGGGTCCTTTGGATTTTACCCTAGCATGGCTTCTCTTTTGGGGCATCTAGTATATACTTATGTTCCTTGTTTTGTTTGGTGTCACTTTCAATACCAGGTTAGGGTTTAGGGCTTACGAGAATCGAACCAGACGCCCTAAACCGTAAACCGAAGCCACAAAGACGAAGCCTCAGGTCAGCTTCAAAGCCTCTTCGAAGGGAACGCGAGTCGGCCCAGCCCCCTCATGTGGGGTGGGCTCAGGATGCTTGTCGCGACCTCGCGATATCATTTTCATGAGGGGCCCACATACATATCCTTAAAGGGCTCCTCGGGCTCCTATAAGGGATCTATACGTGGTTTTGCATTGAGGGCCTAATTACTTGCAGGAACGTGGGACTTAGTAAATGATGTTGCAAATACCCCCATTGGAGTCATAAGTATAGTTTCTTACTTATAACTTATAACCCTAGTTCCCCCTTCTCCCAAGAACTAACGTACCAACGCACCTGATCCTGAACCTGAAACCGTCAAACCCGACACCGCAACACCCTAAAGCCCTCAACGTGAATCTCTCAACCGAATGCCGAGAAAGCCTCACAGCCCTGAACTATACATGTCTTACCTAGACCCTCCATCTACCCTCTATTAGACCCTAAATGCCCCTTATTTGGGACCATATACCCCTATTTGAGGGTACAAGGAGGGTCGTGGTTACACATAAAAATTTAACTTTGTAGCCCCAGGCCTTGAAGCCTAAAATCTCAAACCCCAGATCCGGGAAGTAGTTTGAGGGCCTCACTAGTTTGAATAAGGTTTTGGGGGTATATATATATATATATATATCATAACGGATATATACTGATTATTCAAACCTCGACAATACGATTATATAACCCCGTGAGACTCTGCTGAGACACATCTATAACTCTCCTAGAACCCTGGTGGACCCTCGCAAACGCCTAACAATCTTCATATGTTGGTCTGGGAACTTTGAAGCACCCAGAGACTCCCAAACCCCTTTAATAAACCATTTTCCTTATTCATATGAGGGATCCTATCAAAATCTAGGGTAGATTCCTGAATCAAGGGGTTTGGAGTCTCTCGGCAGCCTCACAGGTGATCCCTCAACCCTCATATAGGAGCCTTGTTAATTAGAATGGAGTTTTGAGGTATACTATACTATAATTACAATAGGAACCACCGAAATCCTATTTTAATGATTAGGGCCCCTACACTCAACCCTAAACCCTTATGTAAAGGAGCAGAAACCCAAAAGGAAACTCTAAAGGAACCCTGAAACGGAACCCCGAAACGAATCCTTACAGGAACTAACCCTTCGTAGGAACTCGCAAAAACGAACCTTTCAGATTGGGTACTGCCCCCACCCTGTAATAGCCTATTAAGGGAGTCATATACCCTGTAATCGTCCATATTAAGGGTGTCATATTGAAGGCTTTACGTAATTTGTTTACACATGCTTTTATCTAGTTGTAAAGAGAGTGGGGGCAGTACCCAACCTTTCAGGGTTTCCTAAACTATTTAAGTATTGGTGCTTAATAATCTACAGCTGACTCCACTAAAGATAACAAATACTAATACTACATACTACCTAACAAATTCTGAAAGGAAGCCCCGGCCGGGTAGCCTTCGGCTTCAGAGGTGAGCTCAAGGAGGATCCGGCAGTCCTGAGAGCTTAGGCCTAGACCCTAAACAGTAAACATGTGGGTAGCTGCCAAAATTATGGTCCCTTTTTGGGTACCCTAAATCTCAGGTGCCGTGCTACAATAGGGACCCCAAAAGGGACCCTAGTTTTGACAGCCACCCATCTTATTCTGGGCCTGTACGGGGGTTTCCGAAAATTGGGGGACCCTAATATAGTGCCCAAAAGAGTAGGGTCCTCAGAAAAAACCACCCGCAAAATAAGGTACGCCTAATTTTCGGAAACTCCCAGAAAGTAGATACTTGAACCTTGAGTTCCCAGGTGGACCATGCTCAAGAGCGCGATGGCTCTGACTCTAAGCCCTCACACACACGAAACACTAAATGGCTAGTTGTCAAAATTAGGGTCCCTTTTGGGGTACCCTAAATAGTAGGTGCCGTATTATAGTAAGGACCAAGAAAAGGACCATAATTTAGACAACCACTCAAATCCTAAACTGCCCAACCAACCGTGAACCCACAAAGCTCTGACTCTAACTATAAAAGCCTTTCCCTAAACCCTAGAGCCCAAACCGTAAACTGAAATAGCGTATGTCCAATACAACCTTCCTACAAGTCCCTTCCAGCACGACTTTGAAACCGTACAGCCCCGCTGCACTCGCCTCCTCGTCGAGCTCTGCAGGTGGACGGCCTTCTCTGACTGCCTGGACTATACCTCAAAGTCGACTGCCAGAGGGCTTCAAAGGGCATATGTGAGGTGTGGCGTTTGGGTTCGGAGGTGTCGCCTCCTGCAGGGATGTTGCAGTTGCTGTCTTGGGTTTCATAAAGGTTGTCGCGGTTTTATGGGGCTCCTAAGTCCGTCAAGAGTAGTTGCCGACATCTCAAGTGGGGAGTGATCCAATGCAATAACGGCTTCCGGTGCCTGGTTGGACATCTTTATTTCATGAATGCGAAAAGCCGTCAGCCGAAGCAAAGGTACGATCGGTGGAGCGGAGATGTCGGCTTGCAGCGTTTTGGATTGAGGGTTCGTGGCTTTGGGTTCAACCGCCCCTTATCCATGAACCCTAAACAGACCCCACAACACCCGAAGCCTGGCACCAAAACCCTGAAGCCTATAGGGCCTAAACCCCCAAAGCCTTTCCCCCCAAAAAGCTACACACGACGCGCTAAACCCATTTTGGAGTTCCCGAAAATGGGAAACCCCAATATAACACCCTAAATCGTAGGATCCTTATTATACGGACCCCCAAATATGGTACCCCTAATTTTCGGAAACTCCCATTTACTCGTCTCGAAAAGTCCCTGCAATGACTGCACCCCTCCTCAGGAGCCGACCAGCCAGGTTCAAGCCGCCCAGGCCCCGTCTCCTCAGGATTTTAAGGGTATGAGGGGTACTAAGGGTTTTGTGTAAGGTGTTAGATTTTCTCGCTCCGTCAGAAAATACGCTGAAATTGTGGGGTTTCGGGTTTAGGGGGTAGTACGGTTAGGAATTCGGTAGTTGAGGAGCAGGGAGTTCAGGGACGACAAGACAAAGGTTCGACCGGGCATTGTGGTTGAATGACTGTTGGATGGGCTTCCTACGGGAAAGGAGAATGAGCACGTATTTCCTGAGTTTGGAAAGGGTCCAGCCGTCCCCCAAATGACGACACCCATTCTGGGCTGCCAGATCAGTCGCCTTTTTTCGGTTCGGGCTGGGGTAGCCTTGCCTTGGCATGCATCGCCCCTTCACAAACGACGACACACGAATGATGCTGCGTATCTACGAGTCGAAGTAACAAAAGCAGTATCACTAGACTTCGCTAGACCCTAAGCCCCACATCTCAACCGCAAACTAACTCTACCTCCACTGCTGCAGGATATGGGAGTTTCCGAAAACTAGGGGTACCTCATTGGGGGTCCTTAAATTATAATAAGGATCCTACTATTTAGGGTAATATACTAGGGTCCCCGGTCCCCTATTTCCGAAACTCCCATATCACTCGGCAGGTCTAGATTGCGACTGCGAGCGCAGCAGAGTTTCTTTCCAGCGATGGTGCGAGGCATGACCCAGGGCCGTTCCTTGCGAATGCCCACCTGTGAGATTTCAGGATTTAGGGTTTACGTGGACCCCAAAAGGATGTAGAATAATAGCCTTTTATAGGTTTTGGGCATCCAGAGATTTGCAACGTGAGACTGCTGCGAGTCCCCACAACCATTAATTGCATCAGAACCGCAAACGTTAGAGACCCTGTGGCAGTTCTAACTCGGCCAGCACCGTGTGTCGAATGATGATGAGCAGTGACCCTGGAACGAGGAAATTAACCCATCGATCGCTGAATGAACAACCAACGAGCCTCAACTGTCGTGTTGAACAGGAACTGTAACAGGTTGGAGTTTGAAGTAGGGCGGTGATGGTTCGTGCTTCTACCCGATGCCGGTGTGCATGCATGTTGGGATTCTGTGTCCACCCGTTGCCTCCTGGTGTTCTACCCATAGGCCCCAAAGTAGTTCCTTTTCGGGATTACCTTATAGGATTCTTAAAGTGAACCCCCAAAAGGAACTACTTTGGGGCCTTAGGGTAATTTGGGCTTGGAAGGCTCCGAAAACCTCAAGGCCCAAGTACTGGACTCCTTCCATTTTAGGGCTTTTGGTTGAAACTCAGAAGCCCAAACCATAAGCTTAAGCCGTTAAACCCACGCATAGACCCTAAAACCTTGATGCCCTGAGCTCTGAAGCCATAATCCTCAGACCCTGAATCGTAGCCATGATAGAGGGGATACATGCACAAGTATCGTGATCCTGCTGCTAGCAGTCACCACAACCCCACAGTACGTCAAAAAGACAAGTATCATCCTACAGCCTAAACCCTAAACCCCTTAACCCCAAACCCCTAAACCCCAAATCCCTAAACCCCCAAACCCTAAACCCCAAAACACGAGGACCCTGCGGTGCCTCGAAGAGGCACGCTTCCATGCTCTTCAGAGATGGCACCCCCGGATGTGTCCAGGTCTCACGGACCACACCTGCAAAAAGCCAAAAGCCCACGCCTAAATCCTACCTGTCGCCGAGAAAACCTACCTTCCCAGTGTTCTTTACAATGGTTTCTATATAGAAGTCTGTGAACATGTAGGTTTTTGGCCACAGGTACCTCAAGCCTAAATAACCTACCTTTTGAAAGGGATCTAGAAAGGTTCTAGAAGGGAGCTAAGGAATGTTATACCTCAACCCCCAATAGCCTAACGTTTCTGAAGACCTATATAAACAAATCATATCACGGGACCCTGAAAAGGGAGGTTTTATGGGGTCCAGGTACACCCTGGGAAGATTAACGCTACATTTACGCTAGGTATAAGGTCAGGCTTATCATGGCCTACCGGGGATTACCCTAAGGGTCCAAGTACCTCATTATCATAAACTCTCCCAAATCCTACCCTACACAACTACTATCCCAAACCCGAGTACCTAATTATTAGGTCCTTTGGACCCTTGGGGGTAGGGTCTGGCATGAAACCTGAATGTACACAGCTGCAGCCCAAGCTCCAGCAAACCTCCGAAACCCAAAGTCAACGAGGCGTGGGTAAACAGGTCTGCCCCAAAAAGTGCCTGGTTACCTCAATGAGCCTTAAAGAAAACTTGCTATACTAATACGCAGACACAGCAAGGTCTGGCATCAAAAATCCCAGAAAAGAATGTCTTTCAAGTTCTAAACCCAAGCAAGGAATCTGAAATTGAAAAGATCTCTCGAGGGGGCCCCGAAGCCCTACCCTTACCTTCAGCATCTCGGAGGGGCAACTCGTAGGTGCCCGAAAAGCTGCCAGAAAGGTTGGTCAGGATTGCGCAGCAATAGGCCTTGCGATCAGACTTGTTTCCTGAACTTTTTGGGTTGAGGGATATAGCCATAAAGCCTAAAAACCCTAAACCCTAAACCCTAAACCCTAACCCCTAATCGGCCCTGAATCCTGAAGTCCTGGACCGTATCAACCCTGAGCCCGCTCCACCTGATGTCCGACGCCAAGACTCAACCCTCTGATAGCTAAGATCCCGCTCCACCGGTCCTGTTTCAGGACATACCTGAACGCCCAATAGTAGGTAAAAGAATGGCCCGGCACCTATAAACGGCGATCATTCTACATACCTTTTGGTGTCCAGGTATACAGGCTTCCGTTGAACAATATCCTCCCCAACTCCCGATGGAGGGACCAGAATATTGAATAATTGCCCGTTTAGGGGGGTATAGTTTTCTTAGTTGCTGAATTCATAATAAGCACTTTTAGTTGTATAGTGGGTGGTACTATCCCAACAAGTGCAAGGCTTATCCACGCAGCTACTAAGTTCTCGATAAAGGCTATCATGGTAGCAAGGAGCCCCCAAGGACTACTGTTGATGATATAAATCCTGCATTACCTTCGGGACCCTAGACTATGGGAATTATGGTATATTCCTTTTTATGGGTAATGCAGGATATATATATATATATATATATATCATCAACAGTAGTACTGGCAGGATCGTATATTGTACTGTAAGAGCCTTAATAACTAGAATGGGGTTCCCTCAAAGGGTTCCAAAAAAGGAACCTGTGGTAGGGTTCTTTAACATAGGGACCTTAATAGCTAGAATAGGGCTTTGGGGCCAGGATACTATAACTATAAGAAGGACCCGCCCAACATACTATCGTATAGGTATTATAGGCCCCGATATTAACAACTCAAGCCCCAAGCATTTCACGAAACCCTGAGACGAACTTCTTTAGGCCCCTAGATGATAGAAGCATACTATAGACCCCTATGGAGCTCTGATAAAACCTTACTATAGACCCCTTATAGAACCCTTTAACGGAACCCTGTAGGTAATTTTGAGGCTCCTGTAGTATTGGCAGTTGTCTCGGAGCATCCGCTACTAACCCTCAGGCCGGGTGTTTGGGCCTCACTGGGCCGGTACCAATCCATGGAATCGGCCTGGGGGACAGGGGCAGAACGGTTTAGGGTGTAGGGGTTTAGGGGTTTAGGGTTTAGGGTTTTACGGTTTAGGGATTTAGGGTTTAGGGGTTTACGGGGAGGAGGGGATCCCAAACGGAGCCAAAACTTAGGCGCGTGGGTTTTGGATGGCAGTGATGGTAGGATGGTATGATGAGGAGTTTTTGACTGTTAGGCACATGGACTCGTAGGCTGGGCCTCAAGATTAGGCAGTAGCCCCAAGGGTCCAAGTACCTAATAATCATATTCTCACCAAAATCCTAACCTACATAACTACCATCCTAAAACCGAGTATAAAATTATTGGATCCTTTGGACCCTTGGGGTAGGTGTTATGTGTTTTCGGATTCGGCTTCATGGCCCGCGAGTTTAGAGTGTGGGGGTTATTAAGTTCAGAGTGAATGCAAAGCTTTGGTTTGGGGTTATGAAGGCTGGGCGCTATTTCAGGCTTAGCAGCAGGATTCGGCGATGGATGCTCGGGTCTATCGGAATTTTCGTTGGGGGATTGCTGCCAACCTGTATCAGAACCGATTCATCAATTGAGGCACGGCTCAGCCTCGGTATCCCTGTATGGGAGTTTCCGAAAATTAGGGCTATCTTATTTGGGGGTCCTTGGAATAAGAATCCTACTACTTCCGGTGCTATATTGGGGTCCCCTATTTTCGGAAACCCCCATATCCATGCGTGACTTGAAATATCCTAAACCCTAAACCCAGGCTTCGAAACCAGGCATGCTCGCACAGTGCAGGCTCATAGACCTGCGAGGCGTCCATATGCATATGATCTGCAAAGAAACATACACACCCTCTGAACGGTAGGTGTATATACGTCTGTTAGAGAGGAGAGAGAGAGGAGAGAGAGAGAGAGAGAGAGAGAGAGAGAGAGAGAGAGAGAGAGAGAGAGAGAGAGAGCGAGAGAGCGAGAGAGCGAGAGAGGGAGAGGGAAAAAGAGAGAGAGAGAGAGAAGGAGGGAGGGAGGGGGAGAGAGGGAGATAGATCAAGAAACGAAGATAAAGAGAGAGAACGAGATTTGACTACAGTAGACAACTGCCAGGTAAAGACGTTTGCCTGTAAGCAAAGTCCAAAAGTGACGCCTCAACCCCAATTGAACCCCACTCCGAGACCCGACAGCCTCGGGCAATGCGAGACTTCCCGCCCCAGGTATGCGAACCGGCATATGCCCTGCAGCTGAAGTAAGCAGACCGGTAAAGCAATAGCCTGAACCCTGAACCCCTGAATCCCTGAACGCAAGACCCTGCGCCAAGATCCCGAAAGCATTGGACACGAAACTCTGAGGCGGTTCTAGAGTTTCGTCCAACCCGTCCTTCAGAAGTACATACTCAGCGAACAAATCTGCCATGAACCACTTTTTGCCGAATTTCCGCACCCAATAAGCCCGGCCTTTATGTAGGCCCAGAGTTCTTTCGGGATCCATTTGCCATCTCCTCAAAGTTTTGGGAAGTGTTTGACGGGTCAAAGCAAGTGGATCCTTACTGCTGGATGCAACATTGCTTCTAAATTGGCTCTCGTTTCGGGGTCAATCAGATTGGCAGGGGATCTACATTCATGCGATCCTCAGTATAGGGTTTAGAGTCTTGAGTTTCCGCATCATAGAGCTAAACTTTCGGATCCCTCCATCTATGTTCCCCCCCCCGCCACCGCGAACCCCCAGAGACTCCAAAACCCCTTAATTAATGAATATGGCTTAAAATATACGAGGGATTCAGCACCTGGCCTGAAGAGCTAAAGAGCCCAGTCTGGTTTCCTAGGATACCCAGTAACCTAAGAATAGAAAAGCCTCTCTTTTTGGTCTTGGGTAAGTTTATAAGGAACCTAGGACTACAAAAAGGGAATAAGGGTACTACTGGAGATCCTAGTTTTGCTACCCCAAAGGGTCCAAAGTACCTTTATAGTAGAATGTCGGGTTTCTATATTAGGAAGTGCTATTATGATTTGGGGAAGTATTCCCCATACCCATATGGGTACTTACTAGATTGATAGTGCAAAGAATACTAGAGGTATAGCAAAGAATCCTAAGGACTAAGGAATCATACGCAATTACTGGCACTTCTTCAGACTTTTTTATTGAAACTTAGGTTTGCGGCTTCGAGGTTTCAGAGTTTCAGACAGGAACGCTTCAGCTCCAGGGATTTCGGGTTTAGGGCTGCATAGGGTTGAGGATTTGGCGTTGGGTACAGGTTTGCATACAATTACGGTGTCTTGATCTTTCTAGTTGCTGGCAGGATTCGGCGGCTTTTTGAGTGCACTATACCTCGCAAAAAAAAACATGTTGTGGATCCCTCCATGGCATTCTTGATGTTCATGTTTTCAGTCTGAAGGTCCCAAACCCAAGCGCAAAAAAAACATACCCTGGTTTCTGGACCCTAAGGAACCTACCTTTTTTAGGGTTCCCTAATATGATTTCTTTATATAAGTCCTTAAAAAGGTAGGTTGTTTGGGGTTAAAGTAAACTCTATGAACCTTATAGACTCTCTGCGCCGTAGTAGCGGTAGACTTCTCCCGAAAGTTTCTCGCGGCGGTAGACGAAGGGAACGCCTCGCTTGGCAACAGAGCAATCTCGTTTCCAGTTCAAGGTTTAGGGGTTCAGGGTGGAAGTTCGAAACCCAGCTGCCAGCTAAAATTTATCTTAAACCCTATATTTGGTAGCATCCGACCCCTACAAAGGACTCCAAGTTTAAAAGACAAAACCTAACCTCCCGCTCTCTTTTGGTCCGAAATCCCCAACTACGATTGATGATATAAATCATGCATCACGAAGCGTAGCACTTCGCCCGGACTCCTATGCATGAGCTGTTGCCGGGTCTCAGACTAGGTGAGGCTTACAGCTGGGGGTTGAGTTGGCACACCTGTACCTAGACCCACCAACTACCCTCTAATTTACCCCAAATACCTACTATCAAGGGCCATTAGGGCTCCATTAAAGGGCCATTGGGGGGGTCTTGGTAGAAAGCGCTCTTCTTCATAGTCTTGGGGTCCAGGAAGGGTTGATGCAACGTGATCTCCGACTTAGACTGGGGAATACCACGTAACAAGATTTAGGTAATTCTCTAAATTAGGGTCCCTTTTTGGGTACCCTGAATATTCGGTGCGGTATTTTATTAGGGACCCCAAAAGGGACCATCATTTTGACAACCACCCATTTGGGTCAGTAGACACCTTGTCAACTCCTAGACACGCACATCACCGTCCGAGCGGGCTCTGCTGTGCCTTCGTAACCGTCCAGAACATCCATGTGCTTGTCGGAGAGGTACACAACGGTGCCCAAAGCAACTTGCCCGTCTTTCTGTATCAGCCTGGGATCTAGTGGGTGTACGGCTTAGCAACTCTACCACAAGTTTGGGTTTCGAACTATGGTTTAGACAATGCATGTGCTCCTTTTCCAAGCTTCTACTGGTGCCTCTGATATGATAAGCAGGCGCTCCGGACAATGCATGTGTTTCTTTTCCAGACTTGTACTGGTGCATCTGATATGACAGCAGGCCTTCTAGCTGATCACCCCGTATCGTCGTAGCTATTTTCTTCACAACAGCCGGACAACAGAAATGAACATTTGAAAGGCATCAGCTGCATCGTTGGCTCTGAGACACTGGGCTTCGCCATTGTAAACTTTCTCTCTCCAAGTGGAACTTTGCGGCTTGTTTATGGGAGACCTTCGAAAAAATAACAGTTTCTGCTGCGTCTTACGTGCATATATATATATATACATATATATATACGGGCGCACCCCTATTTGGGGTCCCCTACGTTTTTCGCTACATCATCTGACTGAGCTATAACCACCAGACTAGGTTATAACCAGCCGATTAGGTTATAACCAGCCGACTAGGTTATAACCGTTCGAATAATTTATAATCAGGTATACATTAGCGATATTTCAGTTTTTTCCAACAAGCGTGCTGTAGTCATTAGTCTGGTTCAGTCATTCCTTATCGCGAACTAAATTTTGGAACGAAAAGTTTTCCATCTTTGTACTGTAATGCCGCAATCCCATCAAAGTCTCTGTTGTTGGGCGCATTGCTATGACGTTTTGGCAAACTGATAGCTTTCAATGACATATCCCTGTGCCCCTATGTGATTGCTTGTAGACACTGGTATATCCGGTAGGTATATTTGAGTGGTGCATTCCTTATTTCTGTATGACGGCTGCCCCAAGCCAAACTTGAAAACTTGCACACTACAAGCTTGGCAAACTTTGTACAGTGTTTTTCCTGGGGGACGACATGAAGCGTCGCTTCTTAGGCTTGGCACTGTTTCTATATGCTCAGAGATGAGGCCTGTGCTTTTTGTATCAGCATACCTTAACCATCACGTAAAGCTCACTGAAAACCATAAAGCTACATCTAGCTTGTCCGAATTTCTGTTTGTGTTCTTGTGAATATTTTCTGAAGGTCGAACAGAAGCCATTGTTCCCAATCCAGAACGTGCTCCTCGTTTTAGAAAAAGTGGTAAACACACACCGAATCACTCCTCGAAAGAGGTACATCCATGTAGTTGGAAATAGCATTGCAAGGAATTTTCTACGTACCGAGCGAGGAAACCTAACAGTTTGCAAGTTGCAAATCGCTCACCACACATATTCTTATCAGTTTTATCTCATCGAAATCCTGCTTCCTTGGAACGATGTTTGAACATAACGTTGCAACCAGTTCGCCTATGTACGAAGTGATGAAACCTGACCACGCTGTAAGCTTTGATATACTATCTCTCCCTACAATGACGTCGTATCAGTCGTATCTCAACTTTTTGTGTACCGTGATATTCCAATGTTGACAACACTTACTGACCTACTGTAATCCCGATAGAGACCCTTCATCTTCCGCATTTTGATTCCTGGGTCATTGACATGTTAGCGGCTATTCTCTCAATGTGTACATAGGTCTCATAAGCCCGATGTACTGAAACGGACAGACCATTATGTAAAGTCCGCCATATAGCCTTTCCGCTAAAGTTGGGGAATGCGCATATGGTCCCCGGAATTATGTTTGTTACAAAGCACTGCATCATGCCTCAACAACCGAATACATGCCAATTACCTCGGACCTTCTTCTAGTCCTTGTTTAGTTTCATTGCGGTTACATTTCCCCTGAAGCACCGAAACTTTCGAACGTTTGGATCTAGGTCTAGGTGTTGATGAAGTAGCGGTGGCACAGATTTGCTTCGTAAGGTTTATATTGTGCAACAAACAATCAAGGCACCCCAATTTACAAACCACAACCCTGGTATGTAAGCCCCCCGGTGTTTCGACACAGTTTACCAATATTGCAGGTTCACCATCAAGTGTTGGGTTTGGGTTTTACTGCTTAGGGTTTGGCGCTAGGGTTTGGGGGAGACTTAGACTTAAACCATTATACCGGCTCGCTTGCGCGATACGACACGGAAGACTTAAACCATCAAACCAATAAACCAATCCATTTGATCTATACGGCACGGCGGGAGTCTTCAAACCCTGAACGTATTTTGCAGCCTGGTTATAACCTCTGTCCCCGGTTATAACCAGGACACCTGCGTAGTAGGCAGCCCTAGACCCATCACTAAACCATTAAACCATTATCCTTTCCCCCAATGGAACCAAACCAATAAACCATTAAACCAATCCTTTTGCCCCATAGCACTAAACCATTAAACCAATCCCTTTACCCCATACCACCAAACCACTAAACCATTAAACCATTAAACCAATCCCTTTACTTCATACCACTAAACCACTAAACCATTAAACCATTAAACCAATCCGTTTGCTCCATACCACTAGACCACTAAACCACTAAACCATTAAACCATTAAACCATTAAACCATTAAACCAATGCTTTCGGCCCATACAGGGATGTGTCTCTCTCTATAGGGGAAAATGATTGGTTTAATGGTTTAATGGTTTAATGGTTTAATGGTTTAGGTCCATTGGGGGAAATGATTGGTTTAATGGTTTATTGGTTTAATGGTTTAGGTCCATTGGGGGAAATGATTGGTTTAATGGTTTAATGGTTTATTGGTTTGGGTCCATTGGGGGAAAGGATTGGTTTAATGGTTTAATGGTTTATTGGTTTAGTGGTATGGAG